GACACTTCGCGCATTATATACAGCCTCCGCGTGTCGGCCTTCCGGACGATCGACCGGCGAAGAAGGAGCACCCGCGATTACGTGGGAACGACGGCAAAAATTGCCGCGGAATTCTAAACTCGCCGGTGTAGGATACGATCGGCCTGTCGATCGGCGGGCGGCCAGGGGCGCGCGAATTACGAGAGCGATTTTCTCGCGCTCCCGGGAATACCTGCCAATCAGTGTCGCGAACATATTCTCACACGCCGCCGATGCCCGCTCGCGCGCATCACTGTGCGTACATCACAGTGTGTAAGCACATAGATGCACATCCACGCACGTGCCGGTGTGTGCGCGCGCGCGCGCGAGACAGATCACTCGTCCTCTGCAGCCGTCTCTCCGCCGGCGCGACTCTTCCAATCGCAATACCTACTACGGTATCCTCGCGCGCTCGTTAGCCGTCGTTGTCGTTGCCGTCATTCGCGATTCCGTGTCAACAATAATCCCGCGTACGTTACGAAGGACACACGGCGGTCCGGCCCGGCGCGTGTGCGCCCCCGTGACAGGTCACCGGAGAGCAGAAGCGCGCATCCGCCGGGATACACACGCGATCACCGATTTATCGCGCCGGAGTTACTCATATATAAACATACACACACACACATACACACATATACACGCGCGCGAGTTTCGCGAGGGAGAGCACCGTGCGCGCTAAATAATTTGCACAGCAGCATCGAGCGGCCGTCGTTTAATTCCGATTTTCATCCGGAATTTTCGTTGAATTAGATTAGCCCTTAGGACCGCGAATGCACGCTCGGTTGGTTGGTTGGTTAGTTTGTCGCACGTGTCCCCATGGGTATTGGTACCGGGCGCGATTGTCAAGCGAATCCCGACGTTTAGCGCGCGATTCTCCGCGAGTGTCGCTCGTCATTTTCGTCGGGTCGGTATTAACTTCGGGAACACGATTCCTGGAGGTTGCACATGAAAAGGACAAACAAAAGAAGCTGATATAATCTACCCTCCGAGCGACAACGTATTTCCGCTACCTTCCGAGTGACAACCAGGGTCATTGGTGCACGAGAAAGAAAAGCTTGGTTGGATAAATTAGTTTCTGGTGAATTATGAGTGATTCAGAAATTCCGATATTGAAATTACCAGAATTCCGCTTGAGTTTATCAGAAATCTTGATAAATTTAGGTTGAATTCTGGTAACTTCAACCGGATTTTCAGAACCGCTTATATTTCATCAGAAATTAGCTCATCCAATCAAACTTTCTCTTCCTTCTGCGTCTTCCTCGATATTGTTCCCATTGCTTGGTGGAGTGCTTGAAAAGAATTCCCAAAAACGATTGGAACTTCCTTTGCTATTCTAGTTGAGAACTACGTAGCTTATTTACGACAAATAAATTGCTCTTTAAGTGTTTTATTTTTTATGATTTTTAAACGAAATAGATCTGAGAAACGAGCATTTAAAATGGCCCAGACCTAAATGACTCTGGCTACCACTCGGAGGGTTAAAACGCTGTGGTAATTAAAATGTTCCTTTGAAATAGGGAACAGAGCTGTATTTATTTCATAGAAATAAAAACTTTATATATTACAAATAAATTTTTTATTAGTATTTTTTTTTCAGTATGATGTCGTTGTTATCGAAACTCAGTTTATTATTGGCTGTTTGAAGTTAACCATTGCAACGAGAATTATTTGGTGCGAGATATAAGTAATGAACGATCCGACAAATGAAATAAGATAATAATTATTAATATATTAAAGCAAACTTGGTCGACTTGGTAGATAATCTTTATATTGCTGATTATCTTAGTGAGAGATCTTTAAAACGCCAAGATTTCTACTGACGTAGTCAATAGTATAAAAATCATCTTGCTGGCGGCAAAAAACCGCGAATATCCATTTACGACGAAGTACTTCTTCTTAACATCGTAATTGAATATTTAACCGAATATTTATTTTGAGTCAATACTTTCGCAGTTGTCTCCTGATAAATTCAGCTAATTAATTATGTCTCTGCTGGTAATTCGGCTAATTAATTACGTCTCGTGATGCTAAGATCGATTAGACGGTTTGTCGATGCGAGGTACTCACTGACACCTAACTCTATTCCTTTCTCTCTCTCTCTCTCTCTCTCTCTCTCTCTCTCTCTCTCTCTCTCTCTACGTTCAATGGCAGCGAGATGCAGTCGCGATTATTAGATGTGCAATTTCGCGTGGCGTGATAATTGTCGGCGCGAGCAAATTTACGCGTTTCGCGCAGGGACAGAACTACCAAAGCGATCTTACTTAGGACTCGTGGGTGCGGCGATGCCGACGTTTGCGCGACTAAGAACGAACGAACGAACGAACCGAGCGAACGAACGGCGGAACTTTTTAATTGGGCGTCCTTAATTAGCCGAGTCTCGGTAATTATACTGTCTCTCGCTCCGTTTCCGTATGCCAACTCTCCGTGCGCACGTTTCCCTCTCTCTCTATATATATATCTATCTATCTCCCTGTCTTCTCTCCTTTCTCTTTGCCCCGCACATCATCCACAGCGGGTTCGCTCTTCGCGTTTTCACCCGAGTTCACTAGCGCGGCTCGTGATTAACTATATTTACTCAATTTCATAGCGGATAAATGGGAGTACATTCTCTAAATACCGCTGCCGGCAGCAACTGCGTGCGAATCGCACGCCACGTTTTTGTGCATTAGGCTGAGCGTACGTTAGAGACTCATATACAATACGCGGAGTAAGCTTGGCGAAAGTTGGAATAAGAAACAAAAGTAATTTATTTTGTTTAATAATAGGAAAAAAGGGCTAATTTGAGTTCGAGCACAGACATAATAGTGCTATTGTACCATATAGATAATACCTTCCTTATGTTAGGAAATTGAGTAATTTATCTTGCTTACGTCTACATTTTAACTTCCTTATATCGAAAGTATTTCTTTTTTAAGTAAGAGAAATACTTTTAATATAAGGGAGTTAGACTCTAGACGTGAGCGAAATAAATTTTCATGACACAGTCCTTCACGATACAAATAATTCAAAAAATATCGTAGGATCTAAATTAGAGGATAAAACTTCGAATAGTATTATTATAGCAATTTTTCAGGCTTGGAATAGTAATAGAATATAGCAAAAGTAATTTAAAAGACAACAGTTTTACATACTTTTAGATGTTAAAATAAATTCTATGACTCTGTTTTTCTTTCACACATATAACATTTTTTAAATCGACTATTTCTTTTCTAAAACGTAATACGTATACGTATATATAATTTAATTAATATTATCAGAGAGAGAGAGAGAGAGAGAGAGAGAGAGAGAGAGAGAGAGAGAGAGAGAGAGAG